ACTGCTAGAAATGGACATGTATCATAGGTTAATGTTGTAAATTTATCAGTGAGAATGCAATTGTGAATGAATTGAAGTTTTTGAGTTGAAGTGAGTATCATCTTCAAAGTACTGTTTTAAACTTCATACATTTTGTTTCATTGTTATATTACACCGCTTGAATGAAGGCTTGAGTGATTTATGTTTCAGGCTTACGTTGGTTGACTTCTTCAAAGAGATGAAACCGATGAATGGAGATTCAACACATGTCGCATAAGCAACTCAAACCTTACTATTACAATCACAACTGTCTACGCATTCGAACCAACCACGCAGACCGGAAGAAAACCCTTCGAAGAATTCCAAAATTTTGGGTTCTGCTTCATATTCCTAGGTTCAGGCATGCATTGCGCATTCGTGGAACGTTCGTGTGGAACCTCACACTGTGATTCATTTTATAAGACGTGTTCACATATTAATAAAAGTAGCACGTGCACAACTCAAGAACTCTGTACAATGTGTTTTCTATATGGGATCGATCGCACAGTGCTGGTCTTTGATCAGTGCAATCTAGAAGCATTGATCTGAAAAAAAACTGAATATGGAATTGATTAGAGAAAAGTTTTGCATTTTGCAACCATTTTTTCTGGTGAATCCTTCAGAAGATTCGTTGATTGGATATGAAATTTGGAATAGGTCTCTGAAGGGATGTCATAAACACACTAATAATAACCAAAAACGAGCATTAATTAGGGAGAAAAATAAGGAGTCAAGGGAATAAGGGACTGAGGGAGTATGCGAAATGGACGGAGAAAAATTATTCCTCTGATTAGTTGATTGAGCTGTCCGTTGTTGGGATGCGTTGAAGTGTAAGCATGAGATTTGCGCTTAAAGTGGATGGATGGATTACGGAGGCGGAAATGTTTGTGTTTGACTGCGTTTCTAAGGGTGGGTTTTAAGATCTTTGATCCTCTATCATCACAATCGCACAGCGTGGGCAATATATCTTTAGCTAGTCGCCAAAGACAGTATCTTCAACGCTTCCGGTACATTCGCTCAATCTGCTTGTTCAATGAGCAGCCCGAGAACACAGCCGACACCCATCTAAACTACTTGAAAATCGCTGCTCAAAGCGTAAATGAGATCACAAGCACTGTGAACGAAAAGCGTTGTGATCATGTGTTGTGGTGATTTGGTGTGGATAACGTTGAATGAAACATTGAATGCGGCATCTGAGATTGAAGAAATTTACATAGAAATAATATTTCATAGTCATCTTTCAACTGAGACTGGTTAGCATGACATTGATTAAGCATGAGCCAATAGCATCTGCGAATGTTTCGTAATACTTTAAGTGTTTTATGTTGTTATGACTGCATCAGTTTTTTGCTTTCATTCAATCATGCCTGAGTACATTCACATTCATGTGCATCATGCGCTATTCAGTCTTTGTGTTGTTCGTTCATTCATGTTTTGATCCACTTGATAGAATGACAAGTCTACGATAACGAGCAGCATTTCTTCATATAGCTGGTGCATAAATTACAAACATTTCGTTTGAGTCTGTCTGCTTCTACATGGAATTGTGTAAGTGGGTGTGAGTGGGCTAGACATCGCTTGAGTCAACTTAAAATGAATGTCATTTGAAAGTATTGGATATAAGGAGCGATGAATGGATTCAGCACATTTCAATTACATCTAATGCCATTAACAATTCTAATTCTAAGAATGTCTAANACAAAATGAACATACACAAAACCTACGTAAAGGTTGTCGGAACGTCTAATTGTCTAGAATGGAATGCAATTTAGTCAGTCAGTTTTCAAGAGTGAAATGCTTGCTTGTTGACGATGATAATATAATTCGCTTTCTGCGATGTTTCCATTAATGGCTACAGCACAATGCCCACGCATCCGGCCCATAGCCTTCAGTCTCTCTTATGCATTGTGTTCGTTTCCATGTTTGCTTATTCCATGCGTGCATAATTCTGTTTTGTTCGCATGGTTTCACCAATTTCGATGTCATTCTTCTTCTCGCTACTTTTACTTCCTACGCCATCCAATCCACTTTACCCATCCGCCCACTTGCTCATTCGCCAACCATAACAACGCAAAGCTCCGATGTTAAGTCCTAAACCCAAAGCCATAAGCCGTAACAATAAAAATAAGTACCCACTCGTTCTTAACTGTCACATTAAATGAATTGCTGAATTAGGAGAACACTATGCTAAGTACTCATTCCTCATTCACATCTTTAAATGGTTCTTCATTGCTTTTTCCATTCACCCACTCCTATTCTCTTGAGTGTTAGCAATAACTCGTTCGCTCTTCAATTCTGAGATTGAGACTCAATCTGGGATCAGAATATGATAAATGTTAGATGAAGCAATCGAATCGATCTCAACCAAATCGAACCAGATCAACTCAAATCAAATGATCAATTATCAGAACGCCGATCACATATCATCTCAATAAATTATTGGAAGATGAAGCAACTTTTAAAATACGATTAATGAATCATGATTGCGCTCTGTGATAACTCAACTTATATCTAATTATCTGTTCATGTGGAAAATTCAGTGTAGTAGGTGGGAGAACATCAATGAGAACTTGGAATTTCTTAGTATGATTGCTAGTAGTGTTAATATAATGATGCATTGCATTCAATTCAACTGCACTTGTCACATTCAAATGAAACTTAAACTAGGTTTTGCATTGAATTCCTTCTTTTTAACTGAATGAAATTATGCAATTTTCTTTTCCACCGCCTTCTCATAACACGGTCATTATGAATGAAATTGTACAACGTTAAACTACCTTCACTAATCACTTTCTTCTCCATAATTCTTTTCAGCAAATTTTTTCGAAAAGAACTATCCAAACTTTCCGCAGAAAAACCGAAATTCTTCCGATGCGAAACTAACCGAAAACAATTTCTTCAACAGCACTAAAATGGCTCTGAATTCCAAACTTGAACAGGCAATCGCTGTAGATTCCATTAACTCCCTCTAATACCAACTGTAAGGCAAATTTACTCATATTATGATCAGAGAACATTTTTGCTTGTGCTCACCGATATTCAGATCAATTGAGTACGACGACCACAAGTGGTGGGTGTTAAGCTAACCAATATATGAATTGTTGTTTATGTTAGCAGCATAAAGCATAGAAATTATGTGTTGGTAAATAGATATGAGGGTCGTATTCTATTCTGTGCGAGCAGTGTCAATGAGCGATTGCATTACATTAAACACCACTTTAATTTCAGCTTGTTCTTTCGCAGTTCTGCAACAATAAGAGCAGCGGTGGCGTAGGAAGAAGTCGTGTTCGGCACCTACACAACTAAGAAATCGTAGGTGTGAGATGTACGGACGGATGGACGGGTGCAATTTTAAACAATTTGACGATGAATAGAATGATGTGAGGAAGACGATGATGATCGCAGCAGCAAGCATTGATTTTCTCATTCGAACAATACATTCACATTCACTTAGTCAGTCACTTCATTCATACTTCAGAGTTGTGAGCACTCACTCATATTATGTTTCAGCTTCTTGAACAAACCCTTCCAAATCGAATTATTTGGAAATCGTATATTTATTTACCTGTTGATGGATGAATGAACTGAGAACTAGCTGGATTACATATGCTCATATTTCCAATCACACTTATGTCTTTACTTCGATTCCGACTAAAATTGTTAGTCTTTGAGAGAAATTAGTTAGCGGATGGCAACATGAGTTACGTCGTCGTATTCGATCACGATGATAACTGATACTTTGAGGAAATGGAGAAAGGTCAAACAATGAAAACTGAACGGATGTGAAAATGAAAAACGCCTTCTCCTTGTTCTCTTCTGATCTGATCAAAATTTCTGTTGTTTACGACTTATTGGATCTGAAAACCGTGCAGGAAATCTTTCCAAAGAACTGATTTTGAGAAAAAACATAACAACATTCCGATCGAATAGAGCAAAATGGTAAAATTTCAACAACAGATTGAACTGAGAAGACTGAAAAGCCCCAAAATCAGATTAACAGACACCCTTTCAAGCGTATAGGCAAATTATCATCATCGTGAATGCTGTGGAAGAATGGATCAAATAAAAGAGATTTTGTTTCACTTATCGTTAAGAAACCGACGAAGCAGTTCCGAAATCGCACAAAACACAAATATCATTCATTGGACGGAGAATAAAAGCTAGTATCCGTCAAAAGTGTTCAGTTTTTGACTGAATCGGTTATAATCTACAATCATGGGCCGCTGTAACACTGACTAGTGGAACGAAACAGCTCATGACAATGATTGTATCCTTGATGATGTCGAGAAAATCAAAACAGCAAATGATTCATGTTTGAAACTATCACACGCAGACCATATGACTAAAAACGAGGTCTTTAAACCAAGAGCTTTTCAGAGGTTAATCGCCATTTGATAAACGCGATAGTTACTGATAACATACTGATTACTAGTGGTAGCGCAAAGGCATAACGCCTTCTTTATCACGCAATATTACGAATGGAGACAGCTTGAATTCGATCAAGCTCTAGTAACAGCTGTAATGGCACGTAGTTCATGTCGTCATTATCCAGTTATTGTGCATGACTGAAACAGGAGAGAGAGCGTTACTGACGATAGCAACTCACTTGAGCGCAATTTTAGATGTATCGCAATCGTACTGCAAATCCAAGCAGATCTGTCCGCAGATATCGTTTTGTTTCGAGAATGACGCAATGCGATACCAGCGATCCTCACCCGAATGCTTCACAATATCACGTTTCCGAATCGACACTCGTCCGATCGGTCGTGGAATCGGTCGCGCATTCTTCTCGAAGATTGTGAAGTGCAATTGTGAGAAGTTACACGATATCTCGTGCACAAAATCATCACCAATAGAGCAGCTGAAATGATTATTCAGTTATATTTGTGTATTTTAATCATGCTAGATTGGAAAGAAACTCTCGTTTATTGACTGCACGATTCTATGATATATCTCAGCTATACAGTGTGATATATCTCAGAACACCTGCACAGGAATTGTACGTTTCTGATATTAGCTCTTTCTGAGATCCATGATTATCGCACCTGTTATAGGCATGAATTGAGCAAGGTTTCGAGACAGCAAAATCAACGATTTCACTGATCCAGAAATGTCGTGTTTGGCTATCGAACAGTGAGAAGGTGTCATAAAAATTAGGTGATAAAATGATATTTATTGATAAAAGTGGAGGCGACGACCTATCGATGAGATATGCTAAGAACAAGTTCAGCTATTTATGTCACAGCTGATCCGATGGCTGTGGGAATAAATGATTGAATAAATGAATAAGTGATTTATTCAATCAATGAATCAATCAATTGATACGGTAAAAGTGATCACTTTGATTTACAGATCAAATCACTTACACAGCACTGTTGACAACCAGACTGCACTGATGAATGTCTTGATTGTCCAATTGCACCGATATGCTTGCAAAACGATTCTCGGTGATTTGCTTGGATGATGGAAGGTTTCTGAGCTGTACGAT